TCTCCTGTTGGTTATTTAGACGATGTATTTCCCCTTGGCGCCCCCACCTTTTAATGCATCCAGGTTTTGGACAAGGTTTAAAATTGCGTAATCGAGTATTGAGGCATTTTTTGTTCGTGAGCCGAGGCGTAAGCCTCAAGGCGTTTTGAGGCGTAACCCTCAAAATTAAAATAATTGCGTAAATATAAAATGATAAATTTTGTATATACTAATGAGTAAATAAGATATAAAATATAAAAAATGTTACTTACAACATCTTTGAGAATAAATAACAATGACATATCATATAAGAACTCATAAGTCATCAACACTATCATCAGTCATCACTAAGGGGGTCTTCATTTGAATCATCATTATGATGAAATGCTCTCTCTTCTTTTTCCTCTCCTATAGAGTCCAATGTCTCCCAATCAGCTCCTTCTTCCTCATTATCAGTTATCTTCTTCTTCCCTAAATATTTTTTAATAATATCATAATGAATAATAGTGTAATACATTAATAAAAGTCTAAGAAAAGAAAACTATATTATTTATATACCTTTTTTGATTTATTATTGAGTTGTAGTGGATGTAGATGCTTTAAGACCATTAAAGAAATCAACATTCATTTTATAATTCAGACGGCATCACTTCAACTTCACCATCTACAAACTACTCATCATCAAATGCCACATCCTCACAATGCAAAGGATCTTCATCATCCAGTAATTTTTTTCTTCAAATTTCAATATCTGAGTCTCCTATTATATATAATGTACACCAGTGAATTCATCCTCAATATCGTCAAGCGATTTCTCCTCTTTGTATGTACTTGGTTGTATGTACTCTAATTTTTTTCAGAGCTATATGAAGAGCATGTCAAGCCCAAAACATTCACAACAAAACGCTACAATTCTGGAGTCCCATCATCAAATGGAATCCATCACTCAACTAATATTTATATAAGAAAGTTTAATTAGTGCAAAAAATAACTTTAAAATAAATATTTAAACATTAAATAAAATCACCTGGAGATCGTTTGGTAATTGTATTCTTTGCTTATTATAATCCAAAAAGCCTTCTTTGTTCCTAAAACATATCAATTGCAAGTCAGCATTTGATCTTTTAGTTGCATCACTTATTAGCCGATCCATGCAATGATACGATTCCAACTTTATTTCAGGGTTTGTAGACTTGTTCTCTGCATATTGATACTGATGATTTAAGTAATAGCCAGCTGCATGTAACTGCCGGTAAAGCTGTAGCTCCCATCTATCATCATAATATTTCAAATTTTCCTAATGCTTCCCTCATTGCCTCCTAAGTTGGAGGCAATTATCTCTTTGGCTTCATTCATGACATTATAGATGAAAACTATTGCAGTCTTCTTCTCGGCATCCACCATCCTTAAAACATAAACTAAATATCTAGTGATTGTAATGGCATATAAGATACTTTGCCAAAATCTGTCATTTAAAACAATATTTTTAATCTCTTGCCCCTCAGCTTTGTTTGCCCAAGCACAACTAAACTATTGTGTAGATGTGAACATAGCCTCTAAAGGTTGTCTAGCATCCAATGTGATTTCAATGATGACTGATTTCAACTAACACTTACGATTTTTGGAACAACAAGTCTATGCTCTTTGGTGCGATGGGACAATGAGTCATAAAATTTTCACCTTTGTTCTTTCAGCAAACCAACCAGAAGGGTCCAGTACGAGGATTTAATGATTAGCTATAATAAAATGTTATTTGAAGTACCAGAAAGTTCTGTTATATGGTCAATTTGCAATATGTATAATTTCTCTATTCCTTTGTTATTCTGCAAGTGCAAGAAGTAAATATAAGAAATAAAAAATAAATATTAAAATTGGTGTTAAATTGAATACTAAGTTACTAACCTAATAAGCTAGTGTGATGTATAAAAATTTATGGTACTTATTAGGCATAAGGTTACACTTCTCTTTTAATAAAAGGGTGAACATATCTACATGTTCATTGCTTAAATAACTATCGCTTAATAACTCATCAATGTCAGTTCTAGAAATAAGAATATTATCAAAATAAAAGACAATATCGTCCCTGCTAAAAAGATAAACATAAAATACGCAAAAGGAGCAAAGAATACGAATAAAATATGCATATCATACGCATGTCATACGCATAATATACGTAAAATTAAAAAAAAATTGTGAGTTCATAACAGTTGCATTTTTTATCTTTGATTAAACTTTTTCAATCATTCATACATAAATTTTTTTTTCAGAACTCAGATTCAAAATACATTTGTAATTTATTATTTCATTTGCATAATCAGGAATTATTTCAATGTCATCGATTGGTAGTGGTTCATTTGGATTTGAGTATGAAATTAGTTGCATTTCGGTTGTGATTGACTCATTTTGGGGGATTGATTCATTTTGGGGGATTGACTCATTTCTGAATGAGATTTGAATATTTTGGGATTGGATTGGTTTATTGTAGGAATGTCTGATTTCTGTTTCTTATTGAAAGATGAAGAGTAACTAACGGATCGTTTATGAGAAAATATTTTGCTCTGATCAATATAATTATTGAGCTTGCCCTCAATAACTTCTATCCTTTCAACTAAATCTTCAAACTTTCTGCTCAGTCTACCTTCAAATTCAAGAAAGAGTTTTGTGCAGGTTTTTTGGCAGAATTTGATTATTTTTTCTTGGAGAATCCAGTGTTTCAGCATAAAAACTAAAGTGTGGTTGCTGAAGAGATTGGTGGGGGTTTTGCTAAGAAGGTGGGGTATGATGGGGAGATTGGGGGGTTGATGGATGGATATTTCATGAGGGGAATCAGGGGATGAAGGGCTATCTGATATATATTTCTTGATGTTAACCAGATCAATTTCAGCTTGGGAAACTCCCTAGAGGCTATAAAAATCTGCAAAAAAATTTGTATGTCAGCAAAATCTTATTCTTTATAGATGTATTAATTAAAATTTGATATAAGATATACCTGACTTTTTCTTAGATAAATAAATAAATTAGTGACCACCTCTGTAGTATATGCAATATCATCGACCCATCGAAGAAAACGGTGCCTTTTGTCAGCATACATAGGAGCATGAATAGTATGCTCAAGTAACCAAATCTACATAAGATGAAAGAAAATTTTAGCAAATGAATTATAAAAATTAAATAAAATTTCTAATGAATTTAGCAGTTAGCACTCACAATTAGCAGAGGTATAAAATCGTTGATGTAACCTGCTTCTTATTTAAAATCTTGGAGGATGGCTTATTAAACTCTCCAACTAAAAATTTTCTAATCGACCCTGGATAGTTTATTGACAAAAAATCATCTTCATTAATTGCTATTCTTTGAAGCAACCGAGGGGTTTTAAAGTTATTAAGTTAAAAAAGTAAAATTGAACATAAATACATAATAAAAGTTGTTAACACAATCTTGGGGGGGGGGGTTGCTTGTTCAACTCTAGCATGTATGCCTTAATTTTCAATGATCTAATTGATGTATGTGCTAAGAAAAGTCAAAATATTTCTTCTCATTTATTTGGCAGACCAGTATGTAGGGTCACTTCATCAACAATGAAAGGAATAGACCGACCTTTTAGAATAAAGCATTGCTTTGAAATATTCCACATTGAGACCAGCTCATAAATAAGTGGAACATTTTGCTCAAACCCAAGAAATTGTGAAAATTGTATGATCTTTAAATGGTTCAATTTGTCCACGACTTCAGGAGAAATTTGCTGAACAAAATTATCATAGATTGTTCGAAAGTCGAAACATAGTATCGATAGGTAATAGGACGAATATATATATGAAAAATCAAGGTTAAAATATATAAAATAAGTAAAAAATATACGCATAACATACACATAGAATACACACAACATACGCATAATATATGCATAGAATACGCACAACATACGCACAAGTATGCACAGTATACGCACAACATACGCATAGAGTACTCAGTGTTTATGCACAGCGTACGTACATCCTACGCGCAACATTGACACAAAGTACTCTATTTTAAAAGTTTGTTAGAGTTTCGAGAAGGAACGCATACGCGTAGCGTATGTATAAAATACGAAAAATTTCAAAACCCTAAACACATATGCATTGCATAAGCATGAAATACGCATAACTTGAACAAAAAACATGCCAGCAAATTATCTTTCTCTTTGGGGGTGACGACATCTGAGAAGGAACTGAGTGAATGCTTGAAATTGCTCCAGAGTGAATGCTTGAAACGTATGCCGGAAGTTTAAAACCAAAAAGCTACGTGAACTGTGAAATTTTTCTGCCATTTTACCTTTACCATGGTTTAAATGTTGGAGCCTCTGTTCCCGCGGGCCGGTCTTGCTTGGATTAACTGTACTAGTCTAACATTTTGTTCAATGGAGATTAAAAAAAAAAAAAAATTATGTTCAATGGAGATAAGAAAGCCAACTATCTTCTTTGTTGGATCATCTAGCAGGTCACCAACCCTAGTAATAGTTATTGAATTCGTCTTGAGGTCTCTAGTTTTCTATTTTCATTCCCTGGCCTTTAATGGTCATTGGTGGCCACCCAATAGATAAATCTATAGATGACAGTAGCCAAAATAACTGCAAACCTCCTGCAATCTACCAATCACTTCTCCGACCTCCTCTATATCTTATTGATTGAAAGAGAAGAATGAGTAATGAAATGCAACTACTAATTTCTTCTACTTTTATAAGTGAATATGTAGTAGTAGATATGAAGGACTAGGTGTATATATATGATCTCTAGTTTGGTAACAAACAAATCTGAAAGATTCATGGATTTAAAATTACTTTGAAATCAAACTTAGATGAGACAAACATGGGAAAATTGAGCTCAACACATATTGCCCTTTTATTGGTTCTTTTAAATAAGGCCTACTCCACATTCCACCATCCTCGTCATCATTTCTTTTCTTCAATTATGCCCTTTGATTTATGTTACTTGGACTCAGGACAACACTTTATACCACTCTCTCTATCTACTTTTTTTTTACAGGAATCGGGGAATCTTGCATCGATGCTTCTGTTAACAAACCACGAAAGAAGCAACAAGCCAGTCCCATGCTTTTTGACCTTAATGTACCACTTGAAGATGACTGCTCTCATGATCTGAAAGCAATACTAGAGCAGGAGAAAACCAACTGCAGCCCAGGAGAGACTTCATTTGCACCTAAAACTCCATTTTCTGATGTTCCTGCAAAAATTTCATGTGAAAATAGTACTAGTTACTTGATTTGTCATGGTAAAGATTCAAAATCTGATTGTTCACTCAATTCGAAGCTGGCCCATAACACTACAGATGATAAGATTGATATTGTGTCTGGTTGTCAGATCCAAGCAGAGTTCAGTAAAGGATCTACAGACTCTAGTGATCAAGGTTTTCTTACCATAAATTCAAAGTCCATTTCCTCTATGGACCTATATAAAGAAGTAAAAGATAATGTAGATTCTTCAGGTGAAAAACTAAGATCTTCATCACATAGTGATATTAAAAGGCAGGATTCAAACGTAACTTCCAGCAACAGTAATAAGGATTCGGTAACCAAACCAACCAATCATGAGGGGAGTGAAGAAGATACTTCATCAAGCCATGCTATAGTTCAGGTTGAGTTTGTTCCTTCCAGAAACTTTTTTACTGAATGCAATTCTCATGGAATAAGTAGAAATAATGAATTTTCCAACGCTGATGATTCTGTAACCACTCAGCTAAACTCCTCACTAAATGAAGAGTCTTTAGAATGGGATACCGCCATTGTAGCGGCAGCCAAAGCTCTAATGAGTATTCCTCTAGTATGTTCTGCGATTCCTGCAGACCAGTCTGATGGGATCAATACGAGCAATCTTCCCCAGTACTCATCTGATTCTTTCGAGCGCATGACACTGCAGCTATGTGAGGTCCAAAATGAAGATTGCTCTATCTTAGAGCCACCTAATGTGAATGAAACAGTGAAGAATGAGAGAGCCGTTAGGCTGAGAAGAGGGAGGGGCTTCAGAGATTTTCAGAAAGAGATATTGCCTGGATTAGTAACTCTCTCCAGGCATGAAATTTGTGAAGACCTGCATAATATTGGTTACAAGCTCAGGAGAGTGAGATCAAGAAAAGCTGGAGATAACTGGTTTGTGCCAGCTACAAGTAGAAGGTCTAAGCTTTGTTCAGGACATAGAAGGCGCTTAAGTTCTTCATGATTTCAGGCTTGTGAATAAATCAGTGTACAGGCTCTATTACAGTTGAGCCATAGCCATAGTCTTTATGGTTTGTGCAGGAAGATTGAAGGAATATTGTTGGCTGTAGTTTTGTCTTTTTTTTTTCTTTGGAAATTGAGTGCCTGAGTACGAAATTATCTGATCATATGGATACATTTCTCTTGTTGTTCATCATAAAATTTGATTTAATTGAAATTATGAATTTTAGCTAAAAAAAAAACGAACCTCATAATTAAAGATGTATATATATTTTGATTTCATTGTAAATTATGAATTTTAGCTAAAATTAAAAAAAAAAACGAACCTCATAATTAAAGATGTATATATTTTTTGATTTCATTGTAAATTATGAATTGTAGCTAAAATTTGATAGAAAATAACAGAAATTCAAGTTTAAAAATAACTAAATATTTAATCTACATGAAAACATAAAATTTTGATTTAATATAAAAAAAGTTAGGATATAACTAAATCTAATATAAATCTATGAAATAGGTCATGAATCTACAAAAAGTTATAGATCTATGAAATAAAATTTGGATCTAACAAAAAAATATTATGAATATTTGTTAGAAGAATGCATTTGACCCTAAATAAAATACATAACTAAGGGCTTTGTTTATGAAAACGTTAAAACTCTAATTTTCAGAAGCCTAATAAAACAATTAACAGATGTAATCTTAAATTAAACTTTCCAAGAGGTATAAGAGGAGACTTAACTTTATATATGTGTAAGAATCAAAGAAATTAAACCTAAATTGATATTCAGAGTGAAAGGAGGTGAAAGGGGGCAAAAATTGTCCAATGAAAAAAAAAATTGCAAAATGGTAAAATGAGGTGTATGTAAACTTATCCTGGTCTTGGCTGGGGCTTTGACTACTAACCAAGAGGTCTTATATTGATAAAAATAGACCATCTAGAAGAATATATATATATATATATATATATATAAAACCCAACGAGTATAGTAGCCATGTAATCTCGGGTTCGAAACTACACGGCCGCGCACGTTAAGTCAGAAATTGGTCTTGAAACTTGTCTGGGGCTTGTTTGTTTGACGATGGAAGACCTTCACTAAGTGGCGTCAGGCGATGCGCACACACGGGACTCAATCCACGTAGCATGTTATGTGTCCGTTCGAAAACTCGTGCGTTCGAGATTTACGCCACATTGCGCGTGGTCGCAAGGATCGTTATCTACCAAGATGAATACGGTCGAATTCGTCAAGTTTGACTAGACGAAAATGCTATCTCCTCTCCTTGTCTCTTATCTCTTCTTCTTTCTCATTCTTTCTTCTCTTCTTGGCTTTTCTTCTGAGTCCCTTTCATGAGAAAATAGGTCTAATTTATAGGATTTCTAGATGCATAGCGGTAATAGGTGTGAGATCAGCAAGTAGCGGAGTGGGTCGATGGACCAGTGATTTGAATCCTTGGTTGGTGCACACGTTCGCACAGACATTTGATGGTCTTAATGATTGGAATTCGGCGATCTAGGCTCGTTGGATTCGTCTGCGTCGAGCCGTTCGATTCACTATAAGCTAGTCAAAATCGGACACCGTTTAGTTAACTCAAATTGTGGTCAAGTTTTCACAATCAGTGCTTCGGGTGGCTTGATTTTGGCTCAAAGTTGGGTTTGGATTGAGTTTGAATTTGGGTTCGTTTGGGGGTTCGTATTTCCGAGAACGCTCAGTTATAACTATAAGCCTCTGCTGAAAATCGGAGTTCGGGAGGTTCCCAGATTATAATTTTTGAAGTTTCCGGTTCAAATGTGCTTCAAGATTCGTGCTTGATCAAACTAATTTCTTGAA